TCCCAACATCTATGTGTATACAAATTTATCTGCACATAACGTAAAGCCGTAATCACACTACGGGTTGTGGGCTTCGTTGCTGTTCGCATTACGGTTAACAGTTGTGGATTGTTGCTTGGCATCATTTTAGATTATATACAGTAGGACCTCCTTATCACGCTCAGAATCAAGTATATGCGACAATAAAGAAGTTATTTTTTTCTTTCGAAGCGAATATCTTCGAAACTATAAGAGATTAAAAAAAATTCTACAATGAAAATTGAATGGTTGCAAGAGTACTTTATAACTATAATAAAAGAAATTTTTTTTTAATATTTATTTATCGTACCCCCTTACCCTCCACTCTTATTTTCAAAAACTTTTTAATTTTTGTATGACGAAAATTAAAGAGCATTTTAATTAAATATTGTTCATTGATTTAAGTTTACGTCTTACAGTTGTTGCTACATGAAGTTTTGTCTACGATATTCGTAAGGATCTCTTTCACTAATTTTCAGAATAGTGCCAAGAGAGAGCAGTTCAGTGCATACCATTATTTCCTCACTCTTCCTCTTCTCGAATTGTTAGCACTAGGTGTGAGTTAACTGTCAGTTATAAGTTTAACAGGAAATTGGTAACAAAGATCCTTGAGTTACCACAGTGTTTCGAAACTCACGTGTTGTCGGGTAGAAATAAAGCTGTTCGATTATACGAGGACCATTGTTAACGGATCAGCGTATGCCTCCGAGAAAACTGGATGGCGAGAGATCGGATATCATCAGTACTGCCATTGCTGCAAATAATTGCGACGTATTCACGCAATTATCATCAATGTGCCTCATGTTTTGACGTGATCAGCCGTATATACGTTGCACAATAATACGCCGAGGGCGTATAATTCGTTATAGATAAGTCCCGAGAGTGTATTTCGATTATTGTGCAACGTATATACGGCTAATCACGTTCTGATCTTCTCTTCACTCACGTGTCTTTTCTTCATTATCTTCTCTCGTATGGCTCCTCTTGCTTCTCTTCTTTCGCACAATACAGTTTATTTACGACAGATGGAAAGTGACGTGTCGATCATATGCTATCATATGGTGGCTATGAATTCATGAGCGTATAGCGTATCTTTATTGTGATTTTTCATGTAACTTTCTGTAGCATACAAACTATTATTGATGTATCCATTCTTATTTTTTTATTTCAGTTAGTGAAAAGTCTTTCAAATTGTACATCTATTGGATATCTATTCTGCAGTCAATTAACTCATTTGAAAAATATATGTCAAATACGACAAATGAAATAGTATCCTTAAGTATTAATATCAAAAGATTCAACTACTTTTTATATTATCGAGTTTTTTTAATCTAGCTTTCTAAGATGCTTGTATGCAGTTGAAACGTCGCTGCCCAAATTTCTTCTAGCGGTCAGTAGGTCGATAGGAAATTAAATTCTTCTTATTTTTTTCTCTCCACTCGTACACACGTATCAAATAAATTAGATTCAATCCGTAGTGACGCGATCAAACTCGCACGTGATTGGCGAAGGCGAGCGATAGCTCTCACGTGAGCAAAAATGAGTACACGTATTTACAGGATAATCGTAAAATAAGCCGAGAAGGCTAGTCATATGTCATATGTATGTAAGGGCAACGCGTCGTTGATAGTTTTATATACGTCTACGTGTGTATAGTAATACTTATTAGAAATACATTTAACGTTCTCTCATAAACGCAATTGACCTTCTCGACGAGAAACTGGTTGATTACGTGAAGTATTTTTCACGGTAAATATAAATATATGTATAGAAAAACGCAATATTTAATTAATTACAAGTGGAAATTAGATTGACAAGAATAAATTAAATATAATAAAAGAAAAATCTTATTTTTAGTATAGAAACGCACTTAATAATATTCATATGCAAATTTTATAAATATATATTTTTCAAATATCCTATAAACTGATCGCCAATTCAGTTTATTAGATTTAAAACAGTTGAAATACAATTATAAATTAAAACTAGATATATTATCACAAATTACGTTGATCATCAATTTAATAATGATTTTAACATAATGCATACAATTTATATAATTAAAGAATACATATATTTGCAAATTTGCATATAAATATTACTAAGCGTCAAGATCCGTGAAAATTATTACGTTCATAATTACATTATGAGTTCTTATCTCAATTTTTAACACATAAAGTCGACAACTCTCGTGTAACACGAATATCATGGAACAAATCTTTGCTGTCGCAGCACGGAGAGGTTGTCATTTGGTAGTCAAACGATCCGAGGATCGCTTTCGTCAACAGCTTGACGACGACATTTAGTCCGATACTGTGGTCGATGTTACATCGTGTATTTTTCTACGATATATTTCTTTCGAAAAGACGGCAGTTGTACGTACATTTACATTTCGGAATTTATCCTAATTGGCATGTATTTCGTAAATAATAATTATTTATATGTTTCTTCATATAAGATCACGCATATCTTCTTTTCCTTGCTACAGATTCGAGTTTCATAATTCCCGCTCAACCAGTTATAATATTATTCAGGACGGGCGTGGACCGTAGACGGTGGACGTTGTGGTGGACGTCGTGGCTATAGTTTCTGTGGCAACAATCCGGTGTTGGCAGATTCGGTGAGTTTTGTCCAACGTTGTATTTGTTTCTCACAGTTAAGTTTCGAGCAGCTTTTTAAGTTTCTACGCAACTCATGTGTTATATAATTGTTATACGTTAAGGATATCTATATTTTTTTAATTATAATTTATCTAGAAAGCGTAATTTGTGTAATATATAAAATACATTAACCTCCAAAAAATCTTACACTAATTATATAGGAAATTAAGTCCCGGTGATATGAGTTAGTTTTCATATATGCTGTAATCTATAATGTAGTGAAGAAAAAATATTCTGTACACATAGCTTACATATAATAAATAGTTCTTGAGCTAGTTTATCAAAAGTGTAAAAATGTCTTGTTCTTACAGAAACACCTTTCAAGAATTATCCATTCCGTTATTGTTTATCATTATTTGAGCTATGTGTATAAAATATTTTTCATTCATCCTATTACAAGTCATAACATATGTAAAAAACGATTCATATTGTTGAGATTAATTCATGTAATTTTTTTTAGAGCAGATTTATTATTTTCCATTTTTTAATTATAAATTTAAAAAGAAAGTTTTGTATTTTACGAAAATATATACTTATACTATATTAAGATGCATACACAGAATTCTCTAATAAAAAAATATTCACATACTTAAAACGAGATAAATATATTTTTAAGTTAAAAAGAGAAAAAGAAAATATTGATTGTGAATACAAAAAGTGGAAGAAACCAGAATAGGCTTAATTATTGTTTAAATTCTAAGCAGAATTGTAACATACATATTCTCATAAGATTTATAAGAATTTTTAAGTACTTACCTTTATACAATATCTTTACAAATGACAGCTTCGTACTAGTCATAATAAGATTTACAAGAAATCGATATAGATATCTACTATAACAATCATTTTATGATACATATACACCTTCGTGAACCTGGCACTCGACAATACAAAAATTAAATTTTTTTTACCCAAAATGATATTATTTTGTTTGTAGTTGTTTGTAGTAATAATAATTTCGTTTGTATAGTTACTTGTATTAAAAAATATAAAGATTTAAAAAAACTGTCACCCGACAATTGTCAATTTTCAAGATATCTCAAATCTGCTTACGGGACTCGATTCGGAATCGAGTACCGTAAGAAGATTTGAGATTTCTTGAAAATTGACAAAGTTACGTTTTTTGTTTATTGTTAATTTATCATAACTTTTGAAGGGCTCCACTACAAAAGAAAGTAAAATCACTACAAACAATTACAAACGATTCTGAATCGAAATATATTATCAATTTTTTTTTGTTAATGTCAGGTGACAGTCATTTTTTTTCAATTTTTAAATTTTTAATACAAATAACTACAAACGAAATTATCATTACCTACTACAAACAACTACAAACGAAATACTATCATTTTGTGTAAAACAATTTTAATTTTTTTATTATCGGGTACCAGGTTCACAAAGGTTACATATACTCGTGCACATAAAATTAGAATACTATAGTTATAAGTTCTTACAAGTTTTACGAGAACAATCTTTTACGAATCTTACAATCTGCTTAGAATTGACCTACACATATCTGTTAGAAAATATCTACTGTTATCCGGAAAACTTGAAATATTTATTATGTATTAGAGGCGTGAAGGGATCAACGTTATGCGCAGATAAAATTACGAAATATTGTAATCGCTAAGTATTAACAAACCGAACTGATGGTGACTTATTTAGTTAATGGCACCCGCCTCCAAAACAATATAATAGAGGAGGTCGATACGGCATTAACATAGTGACGATTATAAAAATCACGCTATCGAAAGTAAGCTTCCTTGATTAATGGTAAGTTCATCGGCACGTGTCTGATCACGTATTGGCCTATATCGTCGCGGTACGGAATCGCTTCTTATCCTCTCCGCGATTGTGTACGTGTGCGTACATTGCACTGGAGCGCGCGGCGCAGAGAAAGGTTGCGTTTATCATCTGCCTCTGCTGTTGTGACATTCCTGGAAGCTGGAATCGCGTTCCCTCGATTATGAACGATCACCGAGAGATTGTCGACAGACACATTCACGTAGTTTATTACATTCGCGTGACTGCGCGTGTATCTTGCGCGATAGGGTTTTTCACGGAATGCGGAATGATCCAAATGGTTCCATTATAAAGTCGTTAATCGTTATAAGAAAAGGTGCTTACCATCGTTTTAAGTATACAACTATACATTTGCGTAAAAAAAGAAATATATTTCTTTTATAATGAAAGAAATATATTCTACATATGTTATAACGTGTCTTCTTTGTTGAAAATTGAATGTGCTATCGTTGCACATTCGAAAATATGATTTTTAATTTCTGTGCAGGCGCAGTAGCAACGCGTTTCTATTGCTCCTTCTGCATCACGATGATAACCCTTTCAATGATTATCCTCGGCATATTTCTCGTACTTCTTGTCTACATCTTTCGTAAAAATGGCAAAACGCATCGACTTCCACCGGGACCATCCGGCATCCCACTGTTTGGTTATTTACCATGGATAAATCCAAAATGTCCTCATATTTCGCTGACGGAACTGGCGAGGAAATATGGTCCGATTTGTGGACTACGAATGGGATCTGTTTACACAGTATTGTTATCGGATCCGCAGCTGGTAAGGCAGACCTTAGCCAAGGATGCGTTTGCTGGTAGAGCTCCATTATACCTGACGCATGGAATTATGCAGGGATACGGTGAGTAAAATATACTTTTCCTGTTATTACATAAATAAAAATAGTTTTGCCACGAAAATAAAAGAAAATAGGAAAGTCGTAAAATAAATCCGATTTGATGAAAATCGCATAACAAATAAATCGCATAACTATAAAAGATTAAATAAAATGAATAACCGATTGAGAAATAAAAAAGTAGAGAAGATCTATTATTTGGATACAGAAAGTTAAAAATTTTTGATTGCAATATAGAAGAAGATAACAATTATTCTCTTGAATGTTATCAATGTAGCGTAGCAAATAAAATAGTATAATATAAAGAAAGAGGGCAATGAGCCAAATAAATTACATTAAAAATCCTATTAAAATTAATTTAATATATTGCGAAGAATATTCTGTCTTTATTCAGATAAGGTTGCGTTTCAAGACCGACGATAGTTCGGCGCGCAAGTTGGGGGGATGGGGGGTAATACATATAGGATAAACCCGGTATGTACGCCGCGTCAGGAAATACGCCGCAGAAGTCAGAAAAAATAGAAGAAGTGGGGATAAGTTTCCGTCAATTACTTTGTTACATGCCTCTATGGTATATTAGTATTATGTTATGATTTCAGTTCTTTACTGTTAATATTAATGAAATTATTGCGAGTTAAATCGATTTTTTACTGTAATAAGTAGTGCCATCATAATTTATAATCTACATAAAATGATTATTATAGAGCGTGTAAAAGACTTAGCGGTTATTTTGCAATACATATGTGTAGAGGAATAGTAAAGCATGTTGTATAGCAAAATACAAGTGCTTTGCTCCTGTATTGTTTGTTTAATTAGTTGTCATATATATATCCCATCTATTTGGGATATACGGTATTTTTAGCGACCGGGATGCTGTGCCGCAGCACAGACGCCTATTTAAGAAGTTTTTGTTAATTCTAACAATTATACATTGCATTAATGCATAAATGTTGATAAATCTTAAACGTTTAAAGATTAATTT